GTCTATCCTGCACATCTGTCCAGAATTCTCTGTCATGTCCATCCTGTTTGTTTCCTGAAAACCAGCAAGAGGGTTGCCATGCTATCCACTTTGCCTTCTATCTAAACTACCTCTCATCCTTTCTTTAATGGAGAAGGCTTCAGATTTAGTCTCTGCCCAACCCCATCCCACTGTGGAGGGAGGATGGTATTATAGGAGATCTTTCTCAAACCATAACGTTCAAACAATGTTTGGTGATTATGAAACCCTCACAGATCTTTGTGCTTTCTCATTCTATGATCCCACAATGAAATGATCAATAAAGAAAGATAAGTGTTCCTAAAATTCTTGATCTTTGTATATCCTCTGGAAAACACATCTGGTTGATACAGAGAAACAAATCACAGAGGATGAATATGTGTAGATCTGTTTCATCCCATTTCTTCATGTTCCACAAGCTCTGTCCTACTCCTTTGCAGATGTTTAGGAAATAAGACCAGGGATTAAATAAACAAATAAAAGTTTCAAAAAGTACTTGCTAACAAACAGCTAAATTACTTGTGTTTGTCAAAGGAAGCCTTAATCCTGCATGTATCATAGGAGGATACATTTGTTGATGTCACTGAAAAGCGACTTATGTTGTAAACTTCTCAGTGTCTCCTCACATCACAAGATGAGCGGTATATAAATTTGATAAATGTAAATAAATAAATATGGCCCCAAGAGATCCATAAGGAGCACTGATGACATCATAGCATATGTGATGTCATTTTCTCCTCTTCTTCCCTGTAGATCAGTGGTTCTCAACCTGTGGGTCGGGACCCCATTTGGGGTCGAACGACCATTTCACGGGGGTCGCCAAAAAAGCTGTCCGCCATTTTTTCCCCCTTTTCTTTGGCCATGCCCCTGGCACCTGGTGATATATAAGTGGTTGGGGGTCACCACAACATGAGGAACTGTATTATGGGGTCGCGGCATTAGAAAGGTTGAGAACCACTGCTGTAGATGCTAGTGACTGGTTTTTTGGGCTTGTTTCTGAGGGGAAAAAATAAAAGTCACTGTGGTAAACTCCTACTATTCATACTAAAAGCAACCCCAAATTTCCGTTTTTAGAAAGGCTTTACAGCATGAAATGTAACAGAAAGACAAAGCAAATGGTTGACTATTGTAAAAAAAGTATGCAAGTATTTCCCAGCGATGAAACTGGGATCTTGCTCTTTCTGTGTGACAGAAAACTTCATGAATTCAAATACATTAAAAAAATGCAAGTCCTCATGAATTCATCTTACCTTGTAGGAACAAATACAAAGGAGAAACGTTTTTTTGGCAATCTCTATAATTATTTCAAGATGCTGATAGTAAGACAAAATGCAAACTTTTGGCTATCAGTACCTTTGTGTTTAGTTCAGCCATATGCCTGCATGGGTCTTGTTCTGTGTTTGCCTGCCATTAATGTTAAAATCTCACATCCACGATATTTTTTTGCCTACCGTAGGCCTAATTGATTGGTGCAATATCTTTGTTGCGGTTATGCTGCAGGTACATATATTCACAAATCAATCAACAATTCTTAACCCCAACCCATTTTGCAGGACAAAATTAGCTAAATGGCCAAAATAAACAGTCTTAACCTATTAGTGATAAAGAAAGGAATAAGACTGACACGCCTTTCTGAAGCTGAGCAGGAAACACAAAATTAGTGATTATGCACAATCATTATTTCAGCTTTCATTTTATATTGCACGGTCATCTCAGCCTTGGCTTTCAAGAAATCAAAATCTAATCTCAGCAAACGTAGCTGGATTAAAATTAAAGCTTGGAGGAAGGGGATGCAGAGATTTCTCCTCATTTTTCAGTCCCTACTGTCTCTGCCTTCCCTTGTAACAAACATTAATATAATTTAATAAAACAAAATAAATCAAAAGCGGAAGCCTGTCTCACTAATGTTATCCATATTCCAGAATTTAGATCAGATGAAACAGTTTGGATTTGTGGAATAGATTCAAATGATTTGAACTCCTAACTCATCATTTAGTTAAAATGGAAGATCACTTTAACAGTACAAAGGATATATTAGCATGTTAAGTTCCCAAATTATGGTCCCTTACGTGCTTATTGAGGAAACATTAAGTATGAGAATACTAATATTTTGCTTCATGGAAGGTGCATTTGGTGCTTTTGTATATATTTGGAGGAGCACTAGAGTGGTTTTGTAATTATATGTGTTTTTTTAGAAAAAAAATACACAAAGGAAATAGTTGCATTTCTTGTGCAACTGCCTCTCTATTCTTTCTGGTCAGGAGAGAGCTCAAAAGAAAAGGAAGTTGTAGCACGCTCCAAAGAAGCTAGGAGAAAATGTGGAAGTTATTTAAGAGTCAGCCAGCTTTATACACAAATCAAAACATCCATCCGTAGAACAGGGAGATGGTGGTAGATTTCTGAAATACTTTCTGAAAAAACTTTTCTCAACTGAATGCAAAGAGGACAAGGAATAAGGTTGACAACGTATGGATGAGGGAAAAGAGAGTCATGAAGATGGACTTGGATGGATAAGCGAGTAACTCACTTTGGATTGGACTTTCTGGCAAGTCCAAATCTACTTTGTTCCCCTTAACTTAGAGGTCCCCAACCTTTGGGGCACCAGGGACCGGTTCCATGGAGAGAGGTTATTGCACGGACTGGAGGGGGTATAGGTTTGCATGCTGCTTGCATCCCACAGATGGGACTTCACTGGTTTGCACGGACTGATTTCTGCCATGCCATGGACCAGTACCGGTCCACAAATTGGGGGTTGGGGACCCCTGCTTTAATTTGCTTAATCTTTGCCTTGTCTCTTAATTTCCCTCTAATTGGATATTTGTCTTTTTCCAGTTTCAAAGTTGTGAGCTATGGATGAGGATAGAAGGCTAGTCACAGAGTGAGAGCTTGGGAACCCCTTATATCGGTTTGTGAGACCTCTCTGTTCAAAACTTTGTCAAAATTTTGCTACAAAGCTGGGTGAGCTTTAAGAATAATTTCTCTATGCAAGCCTGATAATTTTTGTTGTTGTTGTTGCTATTATTATTATTATTTAAAAAAATGGATTTCCCAAATTACAATGCCCCAAGAAGTCTCCACCTACAGTTTGAGAACTTCTGTCTTCTTCATATAAAAATATGTCACCCTTCAGAGTTCTTCCCTGTTTTCCAGCAATATTCAGTCAATCATGCTATGGGTTTATTTCCTACTGCAACATGGAATATTCAGAAATATTCTAACTTCTAGGACAGCAAGACTTCATCAAGTATTATAACGCAAGATACTTAGTATCTTTGCGTTCATTACTAGAATGAATGTGTTTAATATCAGTTGACCCTAGCAGGTATAGAATTTATTTCCCAGTTCATGGTATGTGCATTGTTCATGCTCATTCTTCATGCAACTTGGCTTTTGGGTCACATAATCATTCAGATGGTACAGAATGTGGCCGCATAAGCAATCTTGGGCACCCCAAAAACTACACCTATAACACCTATGCTGCAAGAGCTGCATTGGGTGCCAGTTTGCTTTTGGGTCCAATTCAAAGTGTTGGTTATGACTTTTAAAATCCTACATGACATGGGCCCAGGTTATCTATGGAACCATCTTTGCTTCATTACATCAGTCCCTCCCTCCCACCTGGTCAGTTAAAGAATTCTGATTGCTGGGATCCAGGAAGAGAGTCTTCTCTGCTGTTGCTGTGTCCTTTGGAATATGATCCCACAAAAATTGAGCAGCCTCCAATCTCCTGATCTTTTAGAAAGGTTTGCAGACATGGCTGTACTGTCTTAATTGGGACTTAGAAAGGAGCACACAGTCATACGGCTGGTTTATGCCTTGATGGCCCTTTCCTGGCCTTTTAATTAACTTTTAATGTTAAATTTTAACTATCATTGTCTCTTACTTAAATTTTATATACAATTTTAATGTTTCAATATTTCATTTGTATACTACCCAGAGTCCCTTCCAACTCTGTTATTCTGTTATCCCTGGTCTGGGCAGTTTCTAATTTGATAACTAACAAGCTAACTAATAGATGCGAGATGGAGAAAGGAAGGGAATGATAGAATATAATATCAGGGTTTGAATGGGATTCAAATCCTTATACAATCCACTTTACCTTTTTCACATTAATTTTTTTGTAAGAAAGAAAGAAACAAACTGTCTTTTTAAATAAGTTAATTCCCCTCTTTAACTAAGAAATACAGAGAAGTGAGGCTCATCAAAACATATTTGGAAGAAAGCTTTTAGATGCCTTGATAATTTATTTAGAATCAGCTAATGCACTCCCTTCCACTTTGGATGTGAGCAGGCATGAACTCAGATGAGTTGATCAAACCCAAGCCTTCATTATTAGGAAGATAAGCCAATCTTTGATAGTTTATTGCATCTCTGCATTTTTCAAAAACAGTTTTCCCTGGTGAGAGAAAAGAACTGCCAGTTATACATTGATGTTCCTTCCATGGTCCAAAACTGAACACAAGCTTTAAATTAATCCATCTTCCACTCCTCTGCTTTTGAACAACCTGGAAATAGATTTGGTTTAGAACTGTTCCAAAGCTGTATTCCAAACTTCCAGTTCCAATCATCTCTTGTTGAGTGTGTTCCAAAAGTGTTGGTCTACAGCATGTTCCCAATCAGTATGACTATTGGCTGTCCTCATGTGATTCTTATAAGAGATGAATGGGCATTGCTCTTCAATCTTCTTTTTCTTACAGAACTCTACCTCTAAATCATAGTTTACATCCCATACACACTTTTGCTTTCTCAAGTTAGGAAGCCTTCAATCATTCATCAGGCCAAAGTTGAAGTCATCTGCCCTACCATCATCATCACTGGTGAAATGAGTTATATTCAGGACTTTTGAAAGGGATGCCCTCCATGGTTCTGTGGAGGTCTGGAAAGAGAAGGAACTCAGAAAACACAAAGAGGTTGTGAAAGAGAAAGTATGTGCGGAGGGAGGGGGGAGGAAGAAAGCCTTGAGAAGGAGGTCTTTCTTGACAGGAAGAGAAGAGGAATTAAGCCAGAGATGTCGGTGAAGGCCTGAAATTAGACCTCTCCAGCCAGAAAGCAGTCGACAAGGACAGAAAAAGGTACACAAGCTTAGGGAGTGTTCTGGGTGGGCAGTCCAAAAAAGGAAGAGAAGTGAACCTTCTCCACGCATTGGGTCTCTCATCCCAGCCAAAAGGTCCATTCTGTCCACCGTGTTGAAGAGTATCAAAATGAGTGACTTTTGGACAACCTTAGCTAGTCTAGTGGTTACCCTCAGTGCGGTGGGGTTCACGTCAGTCTACAGTTTCCCATAGTGGGAGGAAGTCAGCTGGGGGAATCTCCTGCCCTTTCACTCCAGTCCTCTTGTCTGACCCACCCCACCCCAATTTCATTTCACTGGCCCATTGGGCCAGTAGGAAGTAAAGGAGAACAAGTGGGTGGTGCCTTGTATACTATGCAGGGAGTCTAAAAGATGTGTAGTGAACATTCCACCAAAACTATCAGCAGGTGGGATTGAGGAGGCAAGGAGTAACACACTAATATCTCTGATCCCAAATATGGCTTTTCCAAAATGTAAATGTTTGTTTCTATCAAATTTGCCCTGATTAGATAGGTTCTCTGAAAGGTTCTCAAGATCTTTAATAAGATGGACTTCTTAGTTCAGATGATACTTATCTTTCACTTTGGGTGCCTGTATTAATCCTATTAATATTTGTAGTAATTGAACTTGGCTTCTTTACCGAGTTGAGCATATTTAAAATAAGAATCTATCCACTCCAGAATCATGTTTCCCAGGCAAAGTTCAGCAACTTCTTCAGGTTGAGATAACAATTGTGCAGTTTTGTGTGATAGAATGGATGCACCAAATCTCTCTCTCTCTCTCTCTCTCTCTCTCTCTCTCTCTCTCTCTCTCTCTCTCTCTCTCTCTCTCTCTCTCTCTCTCTCCCTCCCTCCCTCCCTCCCTCTCCCCCTCCCTCTCCCCCTCTTTCCCTCTCTCTCTCTCTCTGTGCATGCGTGTGTGTGTTTAAAGGCTGAATTATTATTAGGCAACCCTAACATCTTACAAGATTTTTATTTGGTTTTAAGTTGTTACTTTAAGAATGCCTCGGTTTACCACGTTGCTGATCCCTGATTTACTAAATGACCCACAATTATTTAGCATGAATAATATGCTAAGCCATAAGCAAATCACATTCTGTTTTATCACTAGGCAAAAAAAGGCTTGTTATTGCAGAAGTAACTCCAAATTCCAGGGCAGGAATAAACAACATTTTGTAGATACTTGGGGAACCAAAACATATCATTCAATATTTTGTGATAAAATTAAAATAATGAGATTCTGTTTTAGCACACAAGAAATCTTCTCCCTTAGGTAACTGTTTCTGAGTGGTAGATCTTTATATTCCCAATAGCAGGACTAGAATGTATGATCTGTGCCAGGCATCTCAGAGGTGCCATTTTAACTCGACCAGCAAGCCCTGGGAATAGTTCTGTCATGGAGGCGCAACTTAGCTATAGTGCAAGTATACAAGGTGACCAACTTTTTTACAATGAAAAGGAGGACACAAATAAATTGAAGAAAAAAAAATATCATACATAAAAGAAACATTTTATTCATTGCAACAATAATACAGAATACACTATAATATGATAAATGCAGAGTGGGCCCCACAGCTCCCAAAGCACCAGCTGCACCGGCTCCGGCCCTGAGGGGCAGCCCGCCATCGACACATCCTGCCTGCAGCCGCCCCGCCAGCACCACCGCCCATCCTGCGTAGCCCCGTGTAGAGTGGGCCCCACGGCTCCCACAGCACGGGGGGCAGCTGGCCGCCACCACCCCTCACACCCCTGCCCACAGCAGCCCCTCTGCCCCTGCCTCTTGTGCCCGCAGCCATTATTGCCCTACCAGGGCCAAAGATCAAGAGAAACTTACCGTGGTGTCGCCACTCCAGTCTCCTCCAGGTATCTTCCGGACTAATTAGGAGATGCTGTAGTTAGGTAGCAGGGAGGGGTGCAAAGTTCCTACCAATTTGCTTTCACTGCAAACAACTTCCATGTGCAAAGTTTGCTGGCCGCGCTCAGCAGGAATTTGGCGCACTCAGCAGCAATTCCTATTGGCTTTCGAAAGCCAATAGGGGGAGTAGCACAGCTCATGCAAAAGTTGAAAAAAAAAAAACATCAAAAAAAGGTGCTGGAATGCCATTCTGAGCATTCTATGAGAAAAAAAAGCCCTGCAGATTAGTCTTCAAGGATTAGGACATGTAGGAGGACACTTTTTGAGGGAGGACAGAACTTACAAAAGGAGGACTGTCCTCCCTAAAGGAGGACGGTTGGTCACCTTAAAGTATAGCCTCCTGTTCCAATAACCTCCCAGAAATTCCAAATGCTGATGTTATGATGGAAATGGGGTTTCCCTTAATTGATACCTCTTAAAATTGAGAACCAGTTTGGTCTAGAGGGTAAGGCACCAGGCTAGAAAGCAGGAGACATGAGTTCAAGTCCCACCTTATTCAGCTGGGTGATCATGGGCCAGTCATTCTCTCTCAGACCAACTGAGGAACTGGGGGAAATAGGAGAAGAAAGGTATTGTAGGAGATGACTAGCCTGAGCCTGAGGGAAGGGTGTCATCAGTCATGAATCCCTTCATGCCCATAAGAGATCTAAATCTAGCCTACCATGAATTCCTTTGACTCTTATCTACCGCCAATTTGCTTTGGCTGTTGGTAGTTCAGATTCTTGTAGAGAGCTTAAGCTTGCAATAAATCTTTATGCCCATTTGAACTGCCTGGATCTTCTGATTTCTCTGGCACTTGACAGGTGTGGTGGATATGTTCACTGCCTTCAATTATTTGTGAAACTAATTAAGGTGGGATATAAATGAATGAATGAAAATGCTGAGCTTTTCTTATCATCCCCATCTAGAAGGGCCAATTTGGAGGACACTGGTTTAGAAGAAGTAGAACTAATGCTTTGGACAATGGAAAGTCTATTATTTAGTGGCAAGATTGGCAATGTTCTTTCATTGGAATAACAACAACAACAACAACAACAATAATAATAATAATAAGAACAACAACAGTTGGAAGGAATCTTGGAGGTCATTTAGTCCAACCCCCTGCTCAGGAAGGAAACCCTATACATTTCAGACAAATGGTTGTCCTATCTCTTCCTAACAACTTCCAGTGTTGGAGCATTCACAATTTCTGGAGGCAGGTTGTTCCACTGGTTAATTGTTCTAACTGTCAGGAAGTTTCTCCTTAGTTCTAGGTTGCTTCTCTCTTTGTTTAGTTTCCATCCATTGCTTCTTGTCCTGCCTTCAGGGGCTTTGGAGAATAGCTTGACTCCCTCTTCTTTATGGTATTCCCTGAGATATTGGAACACTGCTATCATGTCACCCCTAGTCTGTCTTTTCATTAAACTAGACATACCCAATTCCAGCCACCATTCTTTATATTGTTGAAGGAAAAGACTTCACCATGGTTCAGCCCAAGCCAGGAATAAACAACATGGTGACTGCTTTAGAAAGAAGGTTGCAGTTTATTGAAGAGGAGAGCCAGACAGAAAGATGGCTCTGGAAGAAAAGAGAAAAGAGCACATGTAGGGAGTGAGTTTTTATACCTTCTTGAGCCTTTTGTTTGGAGTTGTGGTTGTGGCATGAACTTTGACCTGAGTGTGCCCCTTTGGCCTCTGTGGTTTAATCCTATTATGTCCTATCTTAGAGTTTGGGTGGGGTATGTAGATTTTAGGTGTCTTTGTCTTCTTAATCTTCTAGCTTCAACCTTCCTGAATGGTTTACACCTGCATTTCTACAGAGCTGGTTTCTGCTTGGGGGAGGGAGATTTGGGGATATTAAGAAAAAAAACTGGGCATGCTTTTCTGCCTCTTTAAGATCCTTTGAGGAAATATATTTTTCTGCCCTTTTAATATTTCCTTCTCTGGGGGGGGGGTGACTTTCCATAATATGAAAGTTGTTTAGCTTTATAGCAGCCTGCCTCAATCTGCCATCTTCTAGATACACTAAAACGTTAACTTCCAGAATCCCCCAGTGAGCAGAGTGACTAGGAATTCAGAAAGTTCCAATCCCAGCATTTTTGGACAATATTAGGCTGGGACATGGCCAAAACCATCATGTCCTTGTTCTCTGTTTTGCACCTAGATCAGAGATGTTCAACTGGGAACATCTGGTCTTGGTGTAAGCCCCAATAGCCTCAGGTGTGATCCCCAAATCCCTTCCAACATGAATTGTGTGGTTTGGAGAAGGGGGAGAACATATGATGAAAAATCACAGCTATTTTTTACTTTGATTTTAACTGAATGTAAAAATGCATTCCATTAAATCTGAGGTTATGTTTGCCCTGGCCCTGACTACATTCTTCTCCTGGCCCAGTTGGAGTGTGATCCCCAGCATAGCACTCCAAAGCCTATCATAGTCTTATTCAGTTCCAAAGAAGCTACATTTTTATCTTCCTGTCTCTTGAAAACAGCCTTTAACATGTGGGACTACTGAGGCACAACCATTGCTGGCTGATGAAGGTTTAAGAAGAATGGCTGTTACCAATGAATTCTATGAGAAGATCAGTGAGGAGCACCTGAAGAACTTCTTCTTCATTGGTCGAGGATCTTTTGGGGACATTTTCCGAGCTCGGCACAAAGAGTGGGGGACCGATGTTGCAATCAAGTTTCTGAACCGGTAATAGTGGTTGTTTGAAAGTTGTTTGAGTGCAAAGTGAAAGTTAGATCTCCTCTTTTTCTTGCCTGACAAAAATATATAATCTGTAGCTCCCACAATCATATGTGGACTTCAGAACCTTTGATATGGCCCTAGAGATCTTCAAACATTGTTCCCATATTGTAAATTTGAAAGGGACAATGGGGGAAGTGATTAAATATAGGACATGAGGGCAATTTGATAATTGTAGAGTATCCCTTGATGTAGATGCCTCCTCAAGAGGCATCCAAAGAGGACAGTTTCCAAGTAATAGATCCTATCAGAGATCAGAGCAATCAGAACCCCAAGTTTCCCATGCCAATCTGGGATCTTGATTATTACTTTTTTATGAACCCCATCTCATGTACTGTAAGGGAATACAGTATAGGGATGAGTAAGCCATTAAAGGGATAAGGAAGGACCAAACCTTTACAGGAGGCCTTACAGAAAAGATGTAAGGCCTGGGAATGAAGGGAGTATGAGGGGAAAAAAAGCTCAAAATAACCCCAATTTGATTTCGATTACTACTAAAATGGGACAGAGAAAAACTTGGAGAGTTTTCAAGTTTCTGTTATACTACTGACCTACAACAAATAGTATTATTGGAATCACTAATGTACTTGCTTCTTGACCTGGCTTATACTGGAGGGTGCTTTCAATCTTGAAAACTTTTCTGCAAGTCCTCAATTAATAACTCCCTTCCCCCAGACCAACTCTGCTATTCCTTAACATCACCTTGCTTTCATTGCACCCACAATAATCCTCCAACAGAATTGAAATCAGAACTGAAATTCCTATACTTCCTGCAGGAATACTTCCTTCACTCGAGAGGAACTCTTGAATGAAGCCCGTGCCATGGACAAAGCCCGCTTCACCTACATCCTACGACTCTTTGGCCTCTTCGTAGGCAAAATACAGACAGATGCTACCTTGATGTCAGCCACAGTGCCCAGCTTGGGCTTGGTGATGGAATACATGGAGAACGGCAACTTGTCCCACTTAATGTGTCAGGTCCCCACCATGCCTTGGGCCCTGCGTTTCCGCATTCTGTATGAGGTAGCCCTGGGGATGAATTTCTTGCACAATCTCAGTCCTCCATTGTTACATCTGGATCTTAAGCCTAGCAATGTCTTACTTGATGGGGAACTGCATGTCCGGGTGAGTTTTCCCATTTCTAAAGTTCTTGGCTCCCCCAGAATTTCACAGTGTCAAGATTTGAGGAGTATTTGGAATTCCTCTGGTCCAGCCCACTTCCTAGTTCAGTGGTCCCCAGCCCCTTGGCCAAGGAAGTGTGCCTGCCTCTTACACAAATGGAGCACTTGCTGGCCACTCATATAGAACATTCATGGAGATTCTCAGTCATCCAGATCACAGTTGTCCCAAAGATGCTTTTTCAGGAGGCAACTGGATTTTCTTGTTTTCCTTTGAAGACGTTTCACTTCTCACTCAAGAAGCTTCTTCAGCTCTTCAGCTTCTTGGATGAGAAATGAAAGTCTTCAAAGAAAAATAAGAAAGTCTAGTTGCCTTGTGAAAAAAGCATCTTTAGGACTCATGTGGAACCATCCACTCTTCCCCCCACCCACCAGTCTGCAAAACCGGACAGGTTGGAGATCTCTGTCCTAGTTTAAGAATCTATTACTACAATATTCTAGAGAGATGACCATCAAGTAGAGCTGTCCACAGGATGCTATGCTTTTATTGAAATGACAAAAGCAGCATTCCACCATTGTGAAACAACCACCTTTTGTTTTGTACATACATGTGACATCCCAATGCATGTAAAGATGTTCAGAGCTTGTGTCGTAATGACACACCACCATCTTTTTGTCATTTTTACTCTCCCCCCCCCCTTGATACTCTGGTTCAAGTCTACCCTCAACTATGGATGCTTGTGTGGAATGTAGTCTGGATTTCCAGCAAGGAGGGGCTGCATTTCACAGGACCAAAAAACAGCAAAATTTAGATAGTTTGGTTGGGAGAAAGTAGGTCAGGATAGTTCCTCCTTTAATGATGCAAGGAGTTGCTTTACTTTGGAACTTTGCAACTGAGGAATAATAAGGGAAACTGCTTAAAAGTAACTTCTTCTTGGTGTTTGGAGCCTGACAATGTTCCTCTGAACCACCTCTCTCAAATCACCCTACTTAAATGTCTGTGGAGATTCTCAGTCATCCAGATCATAGTTGTCCCAAATATGCTTTTTTTACAAGGCAAATGGACTTTCTTGTTTTTCTTTGAAGATGTTTCTCTTCTCATCTAAGAAGCTTCTTCAGCTCTGACTGGATGGTGGGGAATGGAAGGATTTATAATCTCTGCAGACAGCTGGTCATTTGCATTCTTTTTAGAGAGTCATTGGAGGTTTATCTGGTTCCTCAGGGTCACCTGGGTAGTGCAAATGGGTGTGGAGACTTCTTGGAATTGCTGAAAGGACTGTGTTGTAGACTGGAGATAGATGATGTCATATCCCTCCCCCTCTGTTGAGAGAGGGCTGTTCAGTTTTGACACAGATGGCCTCTTTGACTCCTCTTTCAAACCAGTGGTCCTCTCTGTCCAAAATGTGGACTTTGCTGTCTTTGAAAGAGTGAGTAAAAGACAAAGGTTACTGTTTGGGACATCAGCCTACCTTGTAGGGGTGTAATTTGCAAAGACTACAGGGGAAAAAAAAGTACCATGTCTGCTGCCTTGGACTCTTGAAGAAAAGGCAGAATATAAATTCAGTAAATATGTACCAGCGTTCTTCATTTAGTCACTCGCTAGTATTATGTTGATTGAAAATGTACATCTGTAGCTTTTAAATCAGCAGAAGGCTGGAGAAAAATAGAAGACTGTTCTATTTACTAACCTGTGTGATTATGATTTAACTTTGTTTGTAACCCGTATGCATGGCATTTGTTAACCACTGCTTATGTTCCATCCTCATTTCTGGCTCAGGTGTCGGATTTTGGTTTATCCAAGTTCAGGCGAGGAACTACTCAGCAATATAACCCCAGTTCTGGGGAAGAAAGCACCTGTGGTGGGACACTGGAGTTTATGCCTCCTGAATCCTTTTCTGATTTCAATTACAAGCCAGCCCGCAGCACGGATGTCTACAGGTGAGCTGGGTTGCCTCTAGGCTCCAATAAGGGATGCTAAATCCATGTGCACATCTTGGAGCTAAAGTTGGTTTGGAATTGATTTTCATTTGAAAGCAGAAGATCTAGCTGGGGATTCTGATATCTATTCATGGCTCTCCCTTTTATTTGCCTAAAAGTGGCTTTCCATAACTTGGAGTTTTTCATTTTATGATCAGCCCACTATTCTATTTCCTTCTATCCTTTTGGCTGAATTTGAAGTTCAACTAATAGATAAAAGAACACCTAGGCAACCTGAATGGGCTACATGCGGTCAGATGTAATTCTTGGATGGGAGACCACCAGGAAATCTGATCTACTTCCTTTTACTTTCAGTTATGGCATCCTGATGTGGTCAGTGTTAAGCAGTCAAGAGCCTTACCACAGTAAGTCATTCTTTGCTTTGCTTTCTGCTTGCCCAAGATTTCACATGTATTATGTCTAGTTTAACGAAGAGAAGGACAAGGGGGGACATAATAGCAGTATTCCAATATCTCAGGGGCTGCCATAAAGAAGAGGGAATTAAGCTATTTTCCAAAGCACCTGAAGGCAGGACAAGAAGCAATGGGTGGAAACTAATCAAGGAGAGAAGCAACCTAGAACTAAGGAGAAACTTCCTGACAGTGAGAACAATTAATAAGTGGAACAGCCTGCCTCCAGAAGCAGTAAATGCTCCAACACTGGAAGTTTTTAAGAAGAGACTGGACAGCCATTTGTCCGAAATGGTGTAGGGTTTCCTGCCAGAGCAGGGGGTTGGACTAGATGACCTCCAAGGTCCCTTCCAACTTTACTACTATTACTATTACTATCTTTCCCAGGTAGATCAGACGGAAAAGAGACCAGATGGCTATTTCTGCTTTATTGTAAGGCTACAGTAACCAAATCTTCCAAATCTGATAGTATGTTATGCAGCAAGGGCTCCTCCTCCTCTTATCTGATTGTTCCCTTCATAGTGTCTCTTCCCTGTCTCCCAAAGTCATTCTCACATGCCATTAAAGCATGATTATCAGAACTAGCATTCATGTTACCCAATTTGTCCAACAACGAAAGGAAAAAAGCAGACACTCTGACTTGGCTGAACAAGATTACTTAGAATTGAGATCCACAAAAATATAGCATCTCAGGTATGGCAACCAAGCCCTTTTAAAAATTGCCGACATATTTGAATATTTAATGTGACAGAAGGGGAAAGCTATTGGATGTGGGAAGCAACCATGTTTTCTTTAATTCAAGTTTTTAAAAATGGGTTTTAAATAGAATAGAGTAGAGTAGAGTAGAGTAGAGTAGAGTAGAGTAGAGTAGAGTAGAGTAGAGTAGAGTAGAGTAGAGTAGAGTAGAGTAGAGTAGAGTAGAGTAGAGTGGGACGAAACGGAACAGAACAGAATAGAATTCTTTCTTGGCCAAGTGTGATTGGACACACAAGGAATTTATCTCCAGTTCATAAGTTCTCAGTGTACATACAAACAACAAGGTGATAGGTCATAAATCATAGTTATAACCATTAATTATCAGATACAAACAATAAATTATAAATCATAAGATACCAATAGGAGAAGATAGTAGGAAAGATGAGAAGATGAGAAAGGTGAGAAAGATAATAGCCATACAGCCTACTGCATGGTAAATATCTTTAGGCCTAAGACAGTGCTGTGGGAATTAGGTGTTCAGCAGAGGTGATGGCATGGGGGTGTGAGGGGAACTATCTTTTTGTCTTGTTGTTTTGGTGTGCAGTGCCCTTTAGCCTCACCCACTGGTAATTCTTGTCTGAAAGGAAAGGACAGCAAAGCATATTCATGATCTGCAAACTTATGTTTGCTTAATTTCACTTAAGCTCCCATAGAATCCTCAAAAGAATATTCAGAATAATAATTTGTTGGGAGTTTTGTTTGATTTCCTGGTTTTCCTCACCCAAAACTACAATTCTGTGACATAAAGGAAGGAATAATGATTAGATTGGTTTATGCTGGTAGCATGACCTATACTGTTTTAAATTTTCTGAGGAGCATTGCATGTTTATAGCTACTTTCTTGAGTTTTTTGACCTTCCCTGAAGAAATATCACCCCAGACTGCACAAGTAAAAAGATATAGAGAGAATTGACAGAGGGAAGAGTGATGCTCAACAAGAAATATTTCTTTTCCTTTCATTTCCACTCTCCCATTTCTTTTGTCCATTCTTCTTGTCCATTGTTCCTGTTGTTTAATGAGCTTGTATGGATGCCTGATCAGCAGAGCTTATATGGTGCCCCTTTAAAAAAAATACCATTAACAGTTTCCATTTCCATTCCCTGCCCAGATCTCCACCATGCCAACATGAGTTCCATGATCAAGATGCATATCCCCCGAGGTCAAAGGCCACGGACGGAAGATCTGGAGAAGCAAGTCGATCAAGTGTTTAAGCTGGGAAACTTGATTGATCTTATGAGAAGATGTTGGTCTAATGAGAAGGGCCAAAGGCCGAGCTTCTGGGGTAAGTCAGATGCATGGTGGCTGCCATCCCACATAATCCAAGAAACACCCCTTATTAAGAAGGGACAGGACACTCAATAAGAGATATATGCCCACCATCTTTCCCTTTGCTGGACTTTGGCTTGGGTTCATCATTAAAGTAGACTGCATCTCGGTAGCTGTAATGAATAACAGAATAGCTGAACAGCCGAAGAGTTGAATAACCAAATAGCCAAATTGTCAAATAGTAGAATAGCAGAATAGCAGAATAACACAGTTGGAACGGACCTCAGAGTTCTTCTAGTCTAATTCCCTGCACAAGCAGGAGACCTATACGATTCTGGACAAATGGCTATCCAATTTTAGAAAGAGTATAGAGAAGAGCAACAAAAGTTGTGAATGCTCCAACACTGGGAGTTTTTAAGAAGAGACTGGACAATCATTTGTCTGAAATGGTATAGGGTTTCCTGCCTGAGCAGGGGGTTGTTGTTCTTCTTGTTGTTGTCATCGTCGTTGTCATCGTCATCATCATCATCATCATCATCATCATCATCAAAAAACCTCTGGTAATGAAGTACCCACAGCTTCTGAAGGCAACCCTTTCCACTGGGTAATTGTTCTCACAGTGAGGAGATTTCTCCTTATTTCTAGGTTGATTCTCTCTTGATTGGTTTCCATCCATTGCTTCCTGTCTTGCCTTCTGGTGCTTTGAAAAATTGGTTGACCCCCTTTTCTTTGTGGCATGTGGGAAAGACCTTGGAGGATGGAGCAAAGAGATGCTGTCTAGGAAATGGTCAAATAAGAGACAGCATAACCCAAAGCTATAAACTGTGTGGAGTCAGAGACTCAGAACATTCCTAGGTGTAAAAATGATGTGGACAATTGTATTTTCAGACTTGCAATGTTCTGTTAATGTAGTTTTACTCTAAAAGTGAATTATCTTATCTATTTATGTTTCCTATTTGGTCTACCTGGTAGGGCTCACAGTAGCTGGGAGTCCATACCATTTGTAAAAAAGGGCCATGATAGGTGGCATCAAGATGCAGAGTGGAGAGGGCTCAGAACCACAGAAGTGGGACAGTATTTGAATTTTTCCTGATTTTAGTAGGAAACATGGGGGTCTCCTTCACAGGTGAAGGCTATTGAAGCTCATGATACATTTTAGCAGCAATAGGTTGTTGGTTTGGGGACCTTGGGGGAGAAGGACATGTTTGGGGTTACCAGGGATCTGGTGATAAGGGGCCCCCATTTCTAGGTCTGTAATCCCCAAAGTGGGCCTTTAATATGCAGAACTAGGAGAGCATAGTGGTGGAAGAGTTGAACTAGGACTGAAGAGATTAGTAAGCAAGGCTGTGTGTGTGTGTGTGTGTGTGTGTGTGTGTGTGTGTACGTATACGTATGTATATATGTATATCACATTTCACATGCCCAGATGGCCTCATGTGCAATGTTTGCTCTTCTCCAAACACTGAACTGTCCTTTCATCCTTGGTAATTTGATGTCATGAGGGGTCCTTGGTGCTCTCTGGGATTAGTTGATTTCTTGCAGACATTTCATTAATCGAACTAGTTAACATCATCAGTGCTAGTGGGGAGTGGGGTTTGCTCTGACTTTATATTCTGCTGGCTTGCTCCGTCAAGGTTGGTGGGGGTGGTCTTAGAGGTTATTTGGTTGGGATGTTTACTATTGGCTTGGTTGGCGGTTCCTTGATTGGGCTATTGTTTACTTCTTGATTGTTGGTCTGATGTTAATCTTAGTGTTAATCTATGCTCATCTGGGTGTTGATTGCTGGTGAGGAGGTGTTTTCATATGTTTAGTTTTTGGCTTGTTGATGGTCTCTTTTGTACAGTATGTAGATGTTGTTTATGTCTATGTGCCCATTGATGGACAGACTTCCAGTATTTCTCTAGCTTTTTATTACAGATAGTCCTCTTAAGTTACGAACACAATTGAGCCCAAAAATTCTGTTGCTAAACAAGACAGTTGTTAAGTGAGTTTTGGCCCGTTTTACAAACTTTCTTGCCACAATTGTTAAGTGAATCACTGCAGCTGTTAAGTTAGTAACACAGTTGTTAAGTGAATCAGGCTTCCCAATTGACTTTGCTAGTTGGAAGGTCACAAAAGCTGATCACATGACCCCGGGAGCCAGCAACCATCATTAATATGAGTCAATTGCCAAGCCTCTGAATTTTGATCATGTGACCATGAGAATGCAGCAATGGTTGTAAGTGTGAAAAAAGGTCATAAGTCACTTTCCTCAGTGTTGTAACTTTGAACGGTCACTAAATGAACTAATTATTTTATTATTCTTTGAAGCCATTCTTTTTTTTATTGAAAATTTTTAAAATTTTACAAAAAAGTTCCCTTCCCCCAACCCTCCCCACCCAACCCAACCCTCCCCCGACCTTCCCAGAGCTGAATATAGGCTTAATTAAAATTAAAAAAAAAAAATTTAACCACAAATAAACCATATACAAGTTTGATTACAATAATTAAACAAATTATAAAATACTTTAACACCAATATTTAAAAAACAGAAAGAGAAAAAGAAGAAACAAGAAAAAAAGAAAATATAAAAAATATCTTAAACTTTAAATATAAATTATTCAAAAGCTAAATAATATTTATTTATATCATACTTATATTGTATAAAGTTTATCCATTTTTTCCATACCAAGAGATACTTCTCTTGCGATTGATCTTTCAAGAAAGCCGAAATCTTTGCCATTTCCGCTAAGTAGGAAACTTTAAGAAACCATTCTTGCAAGGTAGGCAAAGATTCCTTCTTCCAACATTGCCCTACTAACAACCTAGCCGCTGTGATTAAGTTTAACATTAATATAGTTTCTTTACTGTATTATGATGCCTTTACAGCCTCACAATACAATTTCAAGTTCGGCACCTTGAGTCCACCTCTCTCACGAATATCTTGTATAATTTTAAGTTTTACTTTTTCCCTGCCCAAATAAATTTATTAATACCTTTCTGCCATTCATTTAAATTAGCCTCATTCTTTAAGATAGGTATCATTTGAAATAAGAAGAGAAACTTTGGCAAAACATTCATTTTAATCACTGCAATTTTCCCCAGTAGGGATAATTGCAGCTTCTTCCAATTTTCCAAATCCTTTTGTATTTTAACCCACAGCCTTTCATAATTATTTTTATACAGTTTTGCATTAGAAGCAGATAAAGTAACCCCCAGATATTTTACCTTATTAACAACCTCAAAATCTGTCAGCCTAACTAGGGTCTCCTTATCCAAATTGGTCATGTTTTTAAGCCATTCTTTCATGAGCATCATCTCTGATCTGAACATAGATTGAGGGAGGTGAAGAAAGGCATGAATGTCTCCCTTGGTCCTCTTCTCATTCTTGTTTTTTTTTTCCCCCCGTTTCTCAGACTGCAGCCAAGAAATGGAAGACGTGCATTGCTGTTACAAGTGGAAAATCAGGCCTGCTGTTCGTGAAGTCCAAGATATTTTGGTAAAGAATAAATTTTACAAAATGCATTCTTGTGATAAGCCCCCAGAGGACAGCAGCGCTCCACTTTTGCTGTTCAAAGTATTTCCATGCAAACCTGGTCCTATTTTTTTTTTTTTTCCTAATGCCATTATATTTCCTGGATGGTAATTTTGCTACATAAGTAATAGTGCTGTCCAGTCACGGAGTTCAGATATGTGAACAACCCGTTCTCTGTGTGGATGCCGCTTCCAGAAGTCCATTCTGGGCTTGGGCAACAAAAAATTAGCTACCGGTTCTGCTGAAGTGGTGCGAACTGGCTGAATCCCACTACCGGTTCTGTCTCACATGCACAAAATGCAGCTAATCCTCAATTTACGACCACAATTAACTCCAAAATTTCTGTGGCTGAGCCAGCCATTTGTTAAGTGAGGTTTTGCCCTGTTTTACTACCTTTCGTGCCATAGTTGTTCAGTGACTCCTTGCAGTTGTTAAATCAGCAATACCGTTGTTAAGTGAAAGTGGCTCCCCCATTGGCTTTGCTGATCAGAAGGTCACAAAAGGGGATCACCTGACACCAGGACACTGCAGCCATCATAAATAAGAGTCAATTGCCAAGCATCTAAGTAGTAACTATGAGAGGGATCTCGGAGTCCTAGTGGACAATCACTTATATATGAGCCAGCAGTATGCTGCAGCTGCCAAAAAAGCCAACACAGTGCTAGGCTGCATTTACAGAGGGATAGAATCAAGATCACGTGAAGTGTTTATACCACTTTACAATTCCTTGGTAAGGCCACATTTGGAATATTGCATCCATTTTTGGTCACCACAATGTAAAAAATATGTTGAGACTCTAGAAAGAGTACAGAGAAAAGCAACAAAGATGATTAGGGGACTGGAGGCTAAAACATATAAGGAACGGGTATGTCTAGAATTGGGTATGTCTAGTTTAATGAAGAGAAAGATGAGGGGTGACATGATAGCAGTGTTCCAATATCTCAGGGGCTGCCCCAAAGAAGAGGAAGTCAAGCTATTCTCCAAAGCATCTGACTGGCAGGACAAGAAGCAACGGATGGAAGCTAATCAAGGAGAGAAGCAACCTAGAACTAAGGAGAAATTTCCTGACAGTTGGAAATAATCAGTGGAACAACCTGCCTCCAGAAGTTGTGAGTGCTCCAACACTGGAAGTTTTTAAGAAGAAACCGGACAACCATTAGTCTGAAATGGTATAGGGTTTACCTTTTAAAATGAATTAGCAATGTACAAATACTCCCCTATTCATTTCTTAAATTCTTTACAATCCATTTGCAATTCTGGGCTCTAAAATCCATGCTTTGGATTTCAGAGTAAAGCTGATCTCCTCATTCTTGGGTCTGTATTTAAAAAAAAAAAAAATCCCTGCAACATCCCACCTTCATTTTTCGGTCTTATTCTTAGGCGGATCAAGGTTTGCTTTGACATTTCTCTTGGGGCTGTTTTACAGTTTTTGTGATAGTTTTCACAAGGCCGTAAAGACATACTTTTACCAATGGGAATATGATAGAGCCGGTACAGAGACTGACATAATTGCTTCGATAAATGGCGTTAGGGACCAGGAGCTTTATGTATTTTATGATGTTTGTTTAACTATGCTTTTATATATTTTTTTCTTCTTTGTAATTTCTCTCTCTCTCTCTCTCTCTCTCTCTCTCTCTCTCTCTCTCTCTCTCATAGAAATACAGAGAGAGAGAGAGAGAGAGAGAGAGAGAGAGAGAGAGAGCATGTGTATGTGAGAGAAAGACACAGAGACAGAAACAAAAAGCAAATAAATACAGTTAGTCCTCTACTTGCAACAGCATTGAAAAACTGACATATGACCATTTTTCAGACTTATGACGCTTGCAGCATCCCCATCATCAGGTGATTTACATTCGGATGCTTGACAACTGACTTACATGTATGACGATTGCCGTGTCCTGGGGTCATGTGATCACCTTTTGCAAATCAGATTCACTTAACAACCATGTCACTGATTTAACAGCTGCAGTCATTCACTTAACAAATGTGGCAAGAAAAGTTGTAAAAGGGGGCAAAACTCACTTAACAAATTTCTCACTTAGCAACATAAATTTTGGGTGCAATAGTGGTCGTAAAGTTGAGGGCTACCTGTCAATTGGAAGTGGCAGTGGTTTCTGTTGCTTAAGCCACCTCTTTCCATCTTTCTAAAAGCCTCCCTAACTGTCCACCTCCCAGTCTTAAAAATATTTATTTATTTATTTATGAGACTTATATACCGCTTTAAGTGCAAGCACTCTCTAAGCGGTGTACACCAGTACACATTGCCCCCAACAATCTGGGTCCTCATTTTACCTACCCCGGAAGGATGGAAGGCTGAGTCAACCTTGAGCTGGTGAGATTTAAACCGCTGACCTGCTGAACACAGTCAGCTAAAGTGGCCTGCAGTACTGCACTCTAACTGCTACGCCACCTCAGGTCCTATATCCCCATCTAGTTGCTTAGCATTCCTCAGGATATTTCCGGGCATCAAATAGAAGCCTGAGAAGCCAGCTAGCCTATCATATAGCAAAAGGCAGGTGTATCCCATATCCCCCTCTGTCCGTGACAATTTCATGGAAATGGCGGACTCTTTTTAAACATTCTCTTTCCTTAAATAAAATGAGTACTGATAGGGAGGAGAAAGGCAAGCAAATAGATTAGATTACTCACTTGAGGACCATCTTAACCTGGAGGTCTGCAGATTCTCAACCATCCAGGTCATGGTTGTCCCAAAGGTGTTTTTCCAAAAGGCAACTGTTTTTTTTTTCTCTCCAAAAAGTCCATTTGTCTTTTGGAAAAGCACTTCTGGGACCTAATCTGGAGGGATTTTACCTCTTGCCTCCATTCAGGATCGCTTTAGCTGGGTGTTCTTCTTGCCTTGCCAATTTGTCTTTTTTTTTTTTTTCACTTCTGAAAGATGCAGAAAGAGAATTCTTCTATAACAGAAGCCAAGGTCCCTCCAGGTCTGAGTTCCAAGGGAGCCAGTAATACCCCTTTGAGATCCGAGGAATACCGAGCATTCTCTTCTACCTGTGGCTTGGAAGAACATTTTAAAACTTTCCACCTAGAAGAAATGTCACCTGTGCAAAATGGCAAGTGCAATGTGAAAGGGGTGGGGTGGGGGAATCATGCAACTTTTCTGCTTTTCTGGAGTTAATTAACTGGAAACTGATCTGAAGCCTTTTTTCTTAATCTTTGCATGAGTGATCAAAACTGAGTGCTTAGCTTTTAGCAATAGCACTTAGACTTATATACCACTTCATTGTGCTTTAGACAAAGCACTCTCTAAGAAATTTACAGAATCAGCATATTGCCCACAACAATCTGGGTCTTCATTTTTACCAACCTCGGAAGGATGGAAGGCGGAGTCAACCTTGAGTCAGTCAGGATCAAACTGCTGACAGTCAGCAGAGTTAGTCTGCAATACTGCATTCTAATCACTGTGCCACAGTTAGGCTTATATACCACCCCATGGCACTTTGCAGCACTGGGCAGTTTACAATGTCAAAACATTATTTGCATATTGTCCCTAACAATCTGGGTCCTCATTTTACCAACCTTGGAAGGATGGAAGGCTAAGTCAACCTTGAGCCCCATCAGGATCCAACTCCAGACTATGGGCAGAGTTTGCTGGCAATACTGCACTTTAATCACTGCACCAGCAGGGCTCTTAAGGAAATTCCCCCTTTGTTTTCTCCATTTTTGGTCCCATCTCTTTCTATTTCATTAGCTAGATTAAGATTTAGCAACCCACCACATGTATTATTCCAAGTTTTGTAGCTTCTTTCTCCCCTAAACCTAGATTGCATGGCCAACATTTGGCCTCCAAGTGAATTTTATCCCAACCCTTCCTACCTCAAGATAGACCAATAATTTTGGTCTGAGCTCTGAAGACATCAATACATCATTCACCCCCACCCCATACATTGCAGTTCCTATAGGCTAATGCTCTTTTTGGCCTCTGAACCAAAAAAGGATCCAACTTGACTATAAGCCAGTCTCAGAAATTTCCACATCAGCCTTCCTGAACACTTGCTCTTCCAATCTCTTGAATTTAAATTATTCACAGGCCTTCCTGAATTGGAATGACAAGAAGTGATGTCCAACTGAAGTGAAAAGCTCTCATTATAGAAGACAGATCTGGAATCCAAGCATGCATTCTAATTCATATTTCATTGGACAATGGGAAGATGTTTCCTGAAAGATTCCCTCTGCTCAGCATTTCCAACCACTTTGCCCAAATGGCCTCTTCATTTCACATCTGAATATTAATGAACCATAGTGATTGCTCAGTTACTGCTGACTCTTGTGGCTCAATAGACATCTTGTTGCCAGAATGGCCCATCAGTGACTAATCGAGGTTCTGTAAGAAACTGCTTATGTCATCAGTGATAGCATCCAGCCAGTTTCTTCATTAGTAAAACAGATTTGGGCTGCAAAAATTAGTAGAACCTCTAGATCAGTGGTTCTCAACCTGTGGGTCGGGACCCCATTTGGGGTCAAATGACCATTTCACGGGGGTCGCCAAACAACGCAGTCCACCATTTTTTTTTCTCCTTTTCCTTAGCTGTGCTACTCCCTTTTATTCTATTGGCTTTTGAAAGCCAATAGAATAGACTCTCTTGAATAGAGTTTAATTCTATTGGCTTTCAAAAGCCAATAGGAATTGTCCAGGCAGTCTCTGCCCTGCTGAGCTCGCCAAAAGTCTCATTCTGCAAACAGTGCTGCACCAGATGAGTAGTCCTCGACTTATGACCGGTTGAGTAGTCCTCGACTTACGACCGGTTGGGGGTCGTGGCATTAAAAAGGTTGAGAACCACTGCTCTAGATAGCAGCAAATGGCTAGAGATTCTCATGCTCCTTGCTGCCAGCTAGTGGACATTTAGATTTTTGTAGCCTAGTATGGTTGCTTTGGATTAGGCCCGCATTTGATTTTTTTGTTTTGTGTCTGTGTGTGTGTGTGTGTGAGAGAGAGAGATTGCCCATCAGCACTTGCTTCTTGGAGCTCTTGCAAGCTTCTGTCTATGTCATTGGAGACCATGACTAGCCAGCTTGTCTGTTGCTTTCAGTTTTTCAAAGTAGCAATGCAGTATTGTTCTTCTCTTGATGGACTAAATCAAGAAGGGGCTATAAGGCCCAGAACTCTTTGAGCTGATGTCAAGAGATCCACTGGAATTATTTCTCCTTCTCTTCCTCTTTTTTTTTTATTAAAATTTTTTTTAAATTTTACAAAACAAATCCCCTCCCCAAACCCACCCTCCCATACCCTCCCCCATCTCCCCAAACCTCCCTAACCCTCCCCTAGGCCTCCCAGAGTTGATTACAGGCTTGTCCTAAATATTTCAAAAAGAAAAGAAAAGAAACTTAAAACACATATGAATCCTAAACAAATCTGAATACCTTAAATTAAATAGATTATCTTCTCTAAAAAAATAATAATTAAAATCATTAAACACATTATAATGTACTCTAAACTTTCTTTGAACATCTATACCTATAATATAAAATCTAATATAAATCATAAATAAATCTAAATACATTTAGTTAAACAAATTATACTCCCTCCAAAACACAAATTTAAACATTACTTGAAACTTAAAACATTAGAATAAACAAGTTAAAACTTAAAACATTAACATGAACAAGTTGTACTCCCTCCAAAACACAGATTTAAACATTACTTAAAACTTGAAACTTAAAACATTAGAATCCCCTTATACACATTTAATCAAATTCCATCTTGAAAATAGTAATAATAATAATTACTGATATTATTATCATTCTTTATAAACTCCCTCTAAAACACAAGTTTAAACATTACTTAAAACTTAAAACATTAGAATTCCCTTATGCACATTTAAATCTTTATCAATAACAAACTCCATCAAGAATAAACACATTAAACATTTAAATCTTCACCAATAGCAAATCCCATCCACAAAAAACACAGTCCTTATCAGTCTCAATTATCCATTTTCATTCTCCATCCTTATCATACTAATATTATTATTATCAGTCTCAGTTGTCCATTTTCATTCTCGATCCTTATCAATCTCTAATTTTCATTCTCCATCCTTATCCTTATCAAGCTCGAAAGAAATGCTTTGAGATCTTCCTTTAAAGATTGCTCCAAAATTCCTGAATCTCCCAACGACTCCGAAGCCAATACCTGTGAGGATTCCTTAAAATCTTTATTCTGTTGGTCTTTACAATTATATGTTGCACAAGTTGTCCTCTGCCCCCTCTCAGCTTGTTGAAACCCCTCAAGCTGAGATTTCCCATTTTCCATTTCTTCAGACAACGATTCCACCCTTGAAGATTGCTCCAAAGGCTTTATAAATCTTGCTTCTCCAGCAGATTCAGATACCACTAAATGTGAGGCTTCCTTAACCTTCTTCTGTTGCTGCTTTTCTTTACAGTTGTGTGCTAACAAGTTATCTTCTGCTCCTCAACCTGAGCTTGTTGAGGCCTCCCAAACAAAGGTTCCCCAATTTTCATGAATATAGGCTCTTCAAACTGTAATTCTACATTCTTTTCTTCCAAAGCTTTAAACTTAATAGATGGCGATGAGCATACCCCCAGGACCGAAGTATAAAAATCTTTTGCTTGAGCAACAGTATTAAGTCTATAACATATCCCCAGGTAGTTCACCACCATTCCAATCGGAACATCCCATCTAAACGAGATTCGTCTCTTTTTAAGTTCATCTGCTAAGAAAACAAAATCCTTTCTTCTTCTTAAAATTTTGGGTGGGATCTCCTTTAAGATTATAACGTCTTGTGAAGCAATTTGAAATCTCTTCTTATAAAAAGCTTGTATGATTTCATTGCGTAAAGATCTTTTTCCAAAATAAATTACCACATCTCTTGGCAAGTTCTTTTGCACTGCCACCACGGAGTTAACTCTAAATAATTTTTCAATTTCTCTAAATATTTCCTCTTTTCTTTTATTCAAAATCACGGCAAAGTCCTTTGCAACCATCTCTTTCAGATCTCCTTGCAAAGACTCTCCCAAGCCTCTTATTCTTAAGGCATATTCCATTTGACCATATTGAAGCATAAGAATCTCATTTTCCATTTCTTTTTCCATAATTTCAATTTTTCCCTCCATTAATTCCACTTTTTCAGCTACTTCTTCCACACGGGAATTCAACTTTTCAAGAACAGAAGCAACTCCTTTTAAAGCCAAAGCTATATCTTGCCTCAAAGTCTTATTATTTTCCTCTAAAATCTTTTTCATTTCTGCCCTAATTTGAATTATAACATTTCCCATCATATCTTGCAAATCCTTCACAATTGTTGGCTGGACCACAGAAGAGGGTGGAACTATTGATTTAGGAACTGTAGAGGTCCCTGGGCGCTTTGGAGCCATCTTAAAAAAAAAAAAAAACTTACTCCTTCTTGAAAGTTACAAAAATTCCTTCAAAAAAAAAATCATAACTCCCTCAAAAGAAGAATCATTATGATAAAAAGAAAAAAGGGAGTTAAAAAAAAGGGAGTTAAAATATCCATTCCAATCATTAAAAAGAAAAGGAAAGAAAAGGGGGAGAATAAACATCAAAAAGCCTGCGTTTTAAAAATACAAAAGACAAAGCGAGAAAGTCAAGCAAAAACAACAATGCTTAAACACCAAAAAGCCAGATTGTTAAAAATACGAAAAACAAAACTAAAAAGTTAAACAACAAGAATAATAATGCTTCTAAAATCCATCCAGTCATTAAAAAAGCAAAAAAAAGGAGAAACCGATCGCCGTTCTAACTTCCCCCCCCCCCAAAAAAAAACGCCGGAAAGTCTGCCGATCGCCATTTTACTTTCCCTTTCGGCACAAAGTAAAAAATAAAAGGAGAGAATATAAACATGGAAATAAATCTTTAAACTTGAAATGCATATAAAGTCAAAGAAAGCAAAAAAAATAAATCCTCTAATCAACTCTGTCCGCTTCTAAAAAAACTCACCAGATCACTTTAAACGCGGAGGTGTTTGCAACGGCTTGTTTTGTCCCTAGGGACAAAAGCAGCTGGGAAGCGGAGACAGTCTGAACTCCGTGGGAGCACTCTGTCACCCCCCCCAAAAAAGAAATGGGGGTACATAAGAGGCTCTACCACTATTCAGACAACCCTCTACCCCCCCCTTTGCCCGGGAGGGGGATTTTGAACCGCTGAACAGCTGATGTCTGCTGTTCATAGCGGTTCATTACACTTACCCAGGAGGACGGCTACAAAGTAGCCGCCATCACCGTGCAGATCCACCAGAAGCAGTATTGTTCTTCTCTTGATGGACTAAATCAAGAAGGGGCTATAAGGCCCAGAACTCTTTGAGCTGATGTCAAGAGATCCACTGGAATTATTTCTCCTTCTCTTCCTCTTTTAACTACAATTTTTTTCTGCAGTAAAATAAAAAAAATGAAGTACTAGTGAAAAAAGGATGACTTATGAATAAAGGACAGGGATATTTGGACCCCAAAACAAAACTGTGTGTAGAACAAAGGGCATTTGTTCAATGAAAACCCTATGTGGAAGAACCCAGGATCATTTCAGTGGTGTAATTTCCTGAAAATTAGTTGTACAATGGATCAGATTCATGCAATCTGTAAAGTAGAATGAAACTCTTGCTTATCTCGATACGTGAATCCAGTCGTTGTGACTAGCATTTTAATTCAAAGCACTTTGCTTCTTAAATAAAAACTGAACTGGAAGCTGCCAGCTTAGAAAACCATGAAGATGATCCAGTGAATGTGAAGAAATTTTACTAAGCCAGTTACATTTTATCTTTAATATTTCAGAATCAAGACTATCTAAGAATCTTTTGATTAGGCCTGCAAGATACCAAGTTACCTCGCACATATCGCCCAAAATCATAATGAGTTTCCTCTGATTTGGCTTAGGAAAATGTGTGAATCAAGCCATCATGGTTAATTTGAGTCATTTTGTGTGAATTCTACCATTCTGGTTTATAAATCGCATATAATTGCTATAGCCAGTTCATGGTATTTTTTTAATTGATTGTGGTGCCAACAAATCAAAGATTTTATCAATGATAGTGCATGGAATCATGATTAAAATATGCTATAGTTAAATGTACTGTGAGGAGCCAAATGCTGCAATTTATAGATTAGCATATTGTGTGGCTTTAACTATTGTGGTTTCTAAGACATGATTTTTGTCTTAAGGTGATATATAGAGCCAACCGTTGTGATTAATTCAAGAATCCATGGCTAAAACAAATAAAGGATAAGTAGGGTGTATAATCATTGTTTTTTTCCCATTTCAGAAGCTATACCACCAAAAGTCGTTTTAAGGAACAAGTCTTCTGGGACCCTACACCGAAGTAAAAGCATGTGTAACAGGAATGTAAGAATATTATTATTAATTTAATCTGCCAGGTAGAATAGAATGAGCTAGGTAGAATAGAATGAGCTAGGTAGAATAGAATGAGCTAGTCATTCATGCCAGGTAGAATAGAATGAGCTAGTCATTCATAAAAGAGAGGCGGGGAAGGGAGGGAGGGAGGGAGGGAGGGAGAGAGAGAGAGAGAGAGAGAGAGACAGACAGAGATTCAAACTAGTGACAAGCTGGAAACCCTGCAATTCTGATCAAACCCTTGATCAGAATTGGTATGGAAAACAGTGAGTGACTAATGTCCCAAAAGGGCCCATGTGTAAACTGATATGCTGAAGCTCTTTTCAATCATATACAATGGCTGGCAAAATCAAACTTTGCTCAATATACCAGGGGCTGTTTCAAGCCTATTTGATCTAATCCAAGATGGTGGCTATGATTGCAAAACACCTTTGAAGACTACAGCTCTCACACCAAGCCTGTAAGAGTAATGGTCATTGGCTGGGAACCAGGAAAGGAAGCTGAGGCTGTCCCTTCTATTGAAGGAAGAAGCATAAATGTGAATAGGTTTTCTCTAGGGGTCTGACATGGGCAGGGAATCACTTTTTAATTAGCCTGATGGTTTCTTTTTCAAGAAAGCTGAAGGGACAGAGCAGGAAAACCCTCATGTGTCAGAGGTCCAGACTCCACAAAGGACCACACTCAGAGGTATTTTTTTCTGCCTTGTTTGGGGAGATCTACTCATCTTTGCTCACTGGAGCTAAGAATGAAACCAGGCATGCTACCCCTGCACAGTGAGACCATCATGGAACTATTATCACCTCTGGCCTTGCTTGCAGATTCTTTGTATAACAGAACTTGTTCCATAGCAGGAAGAATGAATAAATGACTATATATACATAACCATGTGTTTGTGGGTGTGGATGCATATACAAACAGACATCTGCTCTATCAGCAAAGGATAGCTGTTAGCATCTTTGCTTTGGTTGACTCTCTGTTACCATGATTGTAATGGCCATGGCAGTTGCCAGAATATCTCTACTGAAATTAAGTGTATCTGTGGCCTCATTCAAACTAACTTCAGTTATAGTTTGCCACCTCATACCTGAATCAAAGTTTGTTGAGCATGGGGAGGAAGATGGAGAGTTATGATAACTTTACAAAAGTAGTTAGATTCAGAATAACAGAGTTGGAAGAGACCTAGGATGTCTTTTAATCCAATCCCATCTCAAGCAGGAAACCCTATACTATTTCAGACCAATAGGTGTCCAGTGTCATCTTAAAAGCCTCCAGTGATGGAGCACCCACAACTTCTGAAGGCAAGCCATTCCACTGGTTAATTGTTCTCACTGTCAGGAAATTTCTCTTTAGTTCCAGATTGCTTCTCTCCTTGACTAGTTTCCATCCATTGCTTCTTGTCCTGCCTTCAGGTGCTTTGGAGAATAGCTTGACTCCCTCTTCTTTGTGTCAGCCTCTTAAATATTGGAACACTGCTATCATGTCACCCCTAGTCCTTCTTTTCTTTAGATTAGCCATACCCAATTCCTGCAACCATTCTTCATATGCTTTAGCCTTCAGACTCCTAATCATCTCTGTTACTCTTGTCTACACTCTTTTCAGAGTTCAACATCTTTTTTATACTATTGTGACCAAAACTGGATACAGTATTCCAAGTGTGGTCTTACTAAGGCTTTATAAAGTGGTACTAATACTGCTTTATAAATATTAATACTAAGGATCCTGACCTTTAATTGGTATTCTTGATCATGCTGGCTGGGAGGATTAGGGATGTTGAAGTCAACACATCTGGGAAAAGAGTAAGAAATTTCACTTCTCCAAACAATTTGGGAGAACTTCTCAAGAGGGTTGTATTAATTCCTTTTCTCTTCCCCCACCCCCTTTTAAAACAGGTAATAAGCAACGGCCCCGTTCAGATACATTTGCTTCTCCAATATATCCAAATTATCCTGCATACCATCATTATCCACCGGTAAGTAAATGAGAAATACCAGGAAGAAGATTAGGAAAATATGGAGAGAAGCATTCTTAACAGATCTTCTCTGAATCTCTCTTGCTTACTTCCACTAGGGTTCTATGAATTTGATTCCCCACCATTTTCTTTCAAAAATAGGGATACAGAATATTGACAATGAGATTCTAAGAGTCCTGTTGGATCCAGGCATCATAGTTTAGTGTCCTGTTTCCATGGTGGTCAAACTGAAGCTTTGTGGGACTTTCTCTTATCAGGGAAAACAGTCTATAGCGCTATCATATTTGACAGTTAGCAGTTTTGGAACTATGTGAGATCAGTGGCTGGTGGTGAGAAGGATGCTGTGTTTCTTGAAAGAGCAGCTTTAAAAGGAAGATTGTTTGCTACCCTTTCTGGTCTCCCAAAGATACAGAAGAAACCAGTTCCCTCCCTGATGGAAATGCAATCCTCTGTAAAAAGTAAATTTAAAAAAGGGCTGAAATCACATATAAGGTTATCTGAGTTCATGGGATCCTTGGGTCTCCACATGAGATCTCAAGAGGATTTAAATGAGAACATCCACAATTTGAAACAGAGCGTGCGACATCTTGCAGAGGTGGAATGGTGAGATTACTTAGTATGTTGCATGAACTTAATCCTTTGTGGTTTATCAAATAAACCATAATTAAGTGGCACTCCTTAGTAGCCCTGATGCTGTTACCTAATTTGGGTAATGAAGTGTCTGCAAGAAAACAAGCAAGATAGAGAGCACCAAGGACCCCTCATTTCAATCCTGAGCTACGAATATTCTCCTTTATTGAATCAGTTTTGAACTGATTTTTTTAAAACCCATTTCAAATTGGGTCATCGAGATGATATAAGTGTATAGTCAATGGTCAATGGTCAACTTTTCAGTTCCCATTCACACTCATCCATTTATTTTTCTTTCTTTTTTAATCTGAACATTTTTTTTCCAGCAATTTTATGGCTCCAACCAAGGTGATATTGGATTTGCCAGGCAGAATCAGTCATTCCTGTGGCCTTCTACACCTGCAGTTTCCTGTGAGTAAAAGCAAATCTTCCCAAAAAATAACCAAACAACCCCTGTAAGATGTTTCTCTACCTAACCTGATTTTTAACAAAGGTGATTCTTTTCTTAACTTCCAGATGGTGGAGTTCAAATCAGTGGCAACAGCATCACAGGAGTTCAGATCGGAGATCAGAACCACATGCATCTTGAACAAGCTTCTAGGACAAGACAAAACAGTAACCAATGAATGCTGATAGAAAATAGACAATTTCATTCTTGTCCTTGGGAGCATTCCAGCCAACTCCACTTGCCTTCTCTGTTGTCCCTGATTTTTCTGTGCAATCCCTATAACTCAATCTAATCTAGCTATTTTCTAGAAAGATAGAATCACAGAATAGAAAGGGTGGAAGTGGCTTAGGAGACCGTCTATTCCAGGTATCTCTGAACTTGGCAACTTTAAGGCTGGTGGACTTCAACTGCCAGAGTTCCCCAGCTAGCTTGGCTGCATCCTGCATGGATGGCCATCCAGCGTCTCTTGAAACATCTCCAATGAAGGAGAGCTCACTGCCTCCCCACTGCCTGTTTTTATTCTTGAACAGCTTTTGCTGCTAAGAAACATCTCTTTTTGTCTAACAAAATTCACTTCCTTTTAATTTCAACCTGTTGTTTTTGGTCCTGCCCTTAGAACCACACTGAATAATCCTGTCCCTTCTTGTACAGGATGACCATTTGGATACCTGAGGAGAGCTACTATGTCTCTTCATAGTTTTCTCGCTGATCTTCCTATGAAGGTGCATGATTAATCCTCAGCTCTGATGGGAAGCTGGATTAAGTCATGCACTCGATTCCTCCCTTCCCATCCTGACTGGTTGAATTCAGACATGGTGCTTTTTCTTTCTTTCTGACAAATACTGGGATGGACTGATCTGAATTTTTGGCAATAAATGTTTTCTTCCTGTAATCACAATTGATTGGAGCCATTTCAACAATCTCTGTCAATGGCAGGACCCAGGCTTCAAAGTGAAACAGGTGAAAGCTTAAACGAGAAATAATAACAAATTTTGGGAAAGAAAGGAGCATCATCAAAACTTTCAGCGATAAACTGAACTCCTTAACAGTTTATGGCAACTTTTTTTCTGAATAGATCTCTAACAAATTGCTGAAAATAAATGGCCACAGTTCTCGCTATTTTGCAGAAAATCATTCTATTCAAGAAATGGGCGCTCATTCTGGATATATGCAAAGCATGTGGGATCCTCAGTGCTCTCTGAGCTTGGCTGTTTTCTTGTGGATGTTTCATTACCAAACTATGTAACATCATCAGTCCAAAGCAAACTGGATTTGTGTATGTCTGTGTTACTCAGGTAGGCTTTCAGAAGAATCAGCCTCGAAGTTGTGAGTTTTCAGAGATTCTTCTCCAGTCAAAGGTTATACTCATATTAAATATTTAAAATGGCGGGTCCACTCACATACTATCTCATTAAAGCGCCTGATTAAACTTTTGCCATGGATGTTAAGAGAATCATGCAGTTGTTTTCTGCTGGTTAATCACCGCAATAAAATTATTTGAATTTGAATTCATGAGGTTATTAAATGAATCCCACTTCTCCGATTGACTTTGCTTGCTAAAAGCTAGCTAGGAAGGTCACAAAGGATGGCCACATGAGAAAATTATAGCTAAAGGGTTGGATTTTAGGCAGGAAAGTACCTTTCCATTGTACTTTATTTCCAGTCCAAACTACCCGTTTATCTACCCTGCACCTGATTCAAGTTGGGACAGATCCTCATTTTTATGAACTTGTCAAACTGGGTTTCTCTATTTCCAATTTGTTTGTTCAGTTTTCTCCAAAGCCCCATGTCTGTTCATGGTTTCATGAAGTATTCTTAACTCTTATTTAATTTGTCAATGAAATATTACATAATTCAGATGGTGACAACGAGATTCACTGAAATTTACTTCAGTTATGTTTGAAAATGTGGTATAAGATTCACTGAAATATACTTCAGAGTTGAGTTTGAAAGTATAAGATTCACTGAAATATACTTCAGAATTGGGTTTGAAAATATAAGATTCAATGAAATTTACTTTAGAGTTGGGTTTGAAAATATGATATGAGTCCCTATTCAATTGTGAAGTAAATATTAAAAACTGGGTGTGTTTGCTGAGAACAGTGAGCAACAAATATGCCTGTTAAATCACGGGTGACAATGTGACATTCAGTAATACCTAGTGTCCTCAGAACTCCCCAATTAACTAAACAGAATGTTTTTTAATGGGTAAAATATAAATGCAAGACATTAGGAGTAAGACTGCCAAAACCATATGACAGTGAATTCAGGTCCTTTTTTAAAATGAACTCTCGTTGTCTGGTGTTGCGGCTTCCCAGAAGATCACATCACATTACTGCTAGCCTACTGTGATATTGTGTAACTGTAGCAACCCTTCCCCGCCCCCCCCCCTAATCAAGAGATAATTTCCTCTTAGCATGACATGTAATGTGTGGATAATGATCTCAGGCAAACCTGGATTTGCAAAACAGAATCTCTGCAAGGGGATTTATGTATTTATATTTTTAGTCCTTATTTCCATTTCTATGGCTGCCTATCTAAAGTTGCAGTTCTTGTCTGTTTGAACTGCAACTGAAAACACGCTTGCATTTCTGCAGCTAAATTCCAAGTGGGTCAACAAGACAGCTTTGCAAATCTTCCCTCCCCACACACACACACAAACTTGAATTTAGAAGTGCAGCTTTTATTCTTTAGGTATGCATTATTGTAAGGCTTTGTCACACAGACAGCTAAATATTCAGACTGGATGTGGTATTTTTGTCCAACTACTGAATCTTACCCAAGGACCTGGGATAGTCAGGTTTGATGGTAATATTATGGTTCATTGCATAATCAGACAGATGTTCAGACTGAATTTGGAATTTTTATCCATCTATCAAGTCCTTTTCAAAGGCCTGGGATAGGCAGATGTTGATGGTGTTAGAAGTATCCTTGCAGGATATAAACTGTTCCGATTAAAGCTGCCTTTTGCAATTGACTCATGGTGAATTTGTCAATCAGTCAATTGTAAAAGATAGCTTTACTGAGTGAGGGAAGGGCAGAGATTTTGAAAGTATTCAGCACATGCATTTAACCAGATCCAGTTTGGGACTCAGGAAGAAGTGAATCTTCGGTAAATCTGATTTTCTTTCCAAACAAAAGTTGTTATTATTATTATTTTAAACTAACTGCTAATGCAGGAGTGTCCAACTGCTGGCCTGCGGGCCGGATGCATCATAGTGAAACTGCACCCACCGCATTGTGGGCAATGGCAAAAAAGTAACAATATGTCATGACATGTCACGTGACGTTGCGAGTTTGACACCCCTGTGTTAATGTGAAGAATCATCAAACAATCTTTTGAAAGTGTGCAATGCCTGTACAACTGAGGGGATGTGCAAAAGAAAGGCTGCTGGGGAATCCAGGAGTCAAAAGGATTTGAAATCTGCTTTTCAGTGGTTCAGGAAAACAATAGGAAGGAAGCTGGTTTGAATTGCCTGCTTGGTTTTTTATGAGTCTGGCCACCAATAAGTGTCCAGTGTCCATTACCCTGCTGTTCTCTTTTATAGCTAGGGGCTGGTTGCTGTCCTTGTGTTTGCTGGCAGATAGTGTGGGCCGATGTGTGGTATCAGTGCATCACAGCACAAGTGTCATCTTTCCCTCTCCAAGGGTCTTACATATCAGGTTTTAAGGCCCTGGGGAAGAAGAGGAAGGAAATGGAAAAAGCACTTGACTTCTGGAATATCTACACCAGCCAAGACCCACAACTTGGTCCTTCAGACAGGAAAGTAGTCATTGTTTCAATGGTTTGACCCAGCTACTGGGGCAGCCAGCAGCTTGTGCTGGGTTGGTCCACAGGAAGGAAATGTGGAGCCTTTTGTCTGGGCAGTCCTAATCTTCTCCATAACAACACACCATGTGAAAGGGAGAGTTTTTGTCACCTCTGTTCAGTCTTTCCGGTCACAATGAGGAACACTGGCACAACAGTCATGACAACTGAACTTCCAGCCGAGAAATGAACTGCCTTGCAGGCAAGAATTCATCAGGAAAAATCCATCTGAGTTGAAAAGGGTTTCCTTACAAGGTCATTGCTTTCCTTATTTTCCCTTCCTCAATCAAGTCTAGCCAGCAGTGTGCTGAGCTGCCAAAAAGGCCAACACAGTGCTGGGCTGCATTAACAGAGGGATAGAATCAAGATTACATGAAGTATTAATACCACTTTACAATGCCTTGGTAAGGCCACACTTGGAATACTGCATCCAGTTTTGGTCACCACGATGTAAAAAAGATACTGAGACTCTAGAAAGAGTAGAGAGGAGAGCAACAAAGATGATTAGGGGGCTGGATGCTAAAACATATAAGAAACGGTTGCTGGAATTGGGTATGTCTAGTTTATTGAAGAGAAGGACGAGGGGGGACATGATAGCAGTGTTCCAATATCTCAGGGGCTGCCACAAAGAAGAGGGAGTAAATATATTCTCCAAAGCGTCTGAAGGCAGGACAAGAAGCAACGGATGGAAACTAATCAAGGAGAGAAGCAACATAGAACTAAGGAGAAACTTCCTGACAGTTAGAACAATTAACCAGTGGAACAACCTGCCTCCAGAAGCGGTGAATGCTCCAACATTGGGAATTTTTAAGAAGAAACTGGACAGCCATTTGTCCGAAATGGTATAATGTTTCCTGCCTGAGCAGGGGGTTGGACTAGATGACCTCCAAGGTCCCTTCCAACATTATTATTATTATTGTTGTTGTTGTTGTTATTGTCACTTTATTCTTCTAGAGACCCTGCAGATAAATAAGTCTGGTTTGTATGAGCTAGCAAGCTTTGCAGTTAAGGAGGGACTTGGATCTGTTTTTGATTTGTCCAAGGGGCTTAATATACACCTTTCCATGGCTAAAGAGATATCAATTGGTTTGTAGCTACAGCAAAACATTTATTACTATAGTTTTCTCCTCTGGCTATAGATCTGACTTTGGAAATGAGAGAAGGAGAAAACCATTAATGGGAGAGGGGGAACTTTTGGAAAAGGATGTGCAAGCCTATGAAAGACAAAAGCATGAGAAACAAACTCAGAATTATTCTGTCATGATTGGGTTTTCGTAAAAGGTACGAAAGGGAGAAACTCTCACAGTTCTGTTTTTCTGCCCCAGGACAGAAAAGGACAGTCACAGAATTTCTGCTCTGCCCGTTTCTTGACCTTGTCTACTTTGAAGGGATGTGTGTGGAGGGGTTGTCAATAGTGCCACAATTTCCCAAGGAAAAGACTCTCCTGTAAAAATAACTGGAACTTGAACTGGGGATCTATAGCACATTACAGGTAGTTCTCGACTTACAACCATTCATTTAGTCACTTTAATTTACAACCATTTTCACACTTAAGACCATTGCAGCATCCCCATGGTCACATGATCAGAATTCAGATGCTTGGAAACTGGCATGTATTTATGACAGTTGCAGGATCTCAGGGTCATGTGATCTCCTTTTGTGACCTTCCAACAAGCAAAGTCAATGGGGAAGCCAGATTCACTTAACAATCATGTGACTAACTGAACCACTGTAATGATTCACTTAACCACTGTGGCAAAAACAAAAGGTCATAAAACGAGTCAAAATTCACTTAACAACTGTCTTGTTTAGGAACACAAATTTGGGGCTCAGTTGTGGTTGTAAGTCAAGAACTACCCATAAATCCAACATTTTGTTGGGGGAAAGGGGACAGTACAAATCCATTTCTTTCGTATCTGTAAAACCATCCAAACTGGGGGTGTTGACTTGGGAGAATCCAAACAAAGTGTGATCTCTATTCCATTCCTTATTGGCAGCTAGGCCAGTCACTTGAAACATGACTGTGTGTGTGTATGTGCATGTATGTATTTGTGAGATTCATTACCTCAAGGAAAGGCCAGGCAAGATGATAGAAACCTCTGTGTGGGGAACAAGGAGGCTATGAATTCCACTCAGAGAGGTAGGCGATGGCTGGGAACTCAGAGCGTGGGTAGCTGAAGCAAGAATCAGACTGAAGGAGTTTGGAAGCCAAGAGAGATGCTTGTCACTTGCCCCTTCTTTATTGAGCAAGCTGGGAAAAATGTCTAGCCTACAATTAGCACACTGTTTCTTCCTCAAAACATGAACAACAACGTGGGCTGTCTTTGATCCCTTCCTTTCCCTAATGGAGAAGCCCAGATTTTGCTTATGAACTTTAGGGCTTTACCCAGAGGCTTGTGAACAGCTGCTTGTGAAGACCCAGTATCCTTCAGAAGAGGCCAGGGTGGGGTACATTACAGCCCACATCCAGAGCCTTGGTTTTTATCCTTTGGGCTCATGTGAAGGATGGATTCAGATGAGGAGAGGCAGGTTGGGAGAACTTGAATGGTATTTGGGGAGCGGGGAGCTTTCCAAGGGCAGTTACTTCATCTTGCTATGAGTGTATCACCCTCATGTGTTTTGGGTTCTAGATACAGCCAGAGATCTCCCCCAAATGCTGAAAATCATGAAAAAAAACCCCATATTTTTTGTTTGAAATAT